GTGTGTGTGTGTGCGTGTGTGTGTGTGTGTGTGTGTGTGTGTGTGTGTGTGTGTGTTTGTGTGTGTGTGTGTGTTTGTGTTTATGTTTATGTTTATGTTTCTTCTAATCAGGGTGAGTATGTGTGTGGTCATATATACTCACTGTTCATCGATTGGAATGGTGGTATCTGTGTTGTTTGCATCACATTCTATGCCTCCGTTTCCTCCAGCACACAGGTTCTTTGAGGCCACACTGCTGCTAACAAACATATATGAATATTAACTTTAGATCTTTCAGTATCAGAATCTATCATTAGCCATAGGCAGGTGGTATTAGGGCGAGGACCGTTCTCATTCAATCATTATAGTTTTTTAGAAATCTCTAAATTCAACCCATTCTCCCACACACTTACCCACAGTGCAAACATTATATCATCATAAAATATTCATGAGTCACAATAAGGCTTATAATGTATGCCCCACTTTTCAGATATCATTGTTTCGATGCTGTAGGGAGCATTTTGTGGGGAAAAACTTTGGCTATGAGTGCAATGTTCTGAAAGTCATCGATATTTTTCCCAGAAGACAACTGGTTAATTTTAACTGCATTTATCTGCTAAAAGTATGTTATAAAAGTAATAGAAATTTACATAACATTTTAGGAGCACAAATATACACTGCTGTTCAAAAGTTTGGGGTCAATAATAATAATAATTATTATTATTATTATTATTATTATTATTACATAATTTATTTTATAATTATAATTTTTTAAAGAACTTTAATTCAGCAAGGACACATTAAATTAATAAAATGACTGTAAGGACATTTATAGTGTTAGAAAATATTTCTGTTTCAATAAATGCTGTTCTTCTTTCTATTAATAAATTATAAAATATATATTGAAAAATAAAAAGTTATTTAAAATTTTAATAATATTTCATACTACTGTTTTCACTGTATTTTGATTAAATAAATGTAGCCTTGGTGAGCATAAGAGAGTCTTTAAAAAACAATAAAAATCTCACCAACCCGAAATGTTTGAATGGTATAGGTGGCTTCAAAGCTATCAGACAAGGACTAAAACTCATTAAACCAATGTTCCTATAGTTCACTTGTGGGTTTGAGTCTTAGGGATCTTGTTCTGTAGGTCACTTTTAATAAAATCATTTGTGTGTGTGTGTGTGTGTGTGTGTGTATTTGTTAAGTACTTCTTAAAACTCTGTATAGATGTGTGTCTATATTGTACATATAATATATCACATCAGTTATTGCAGTTGTTCCAATAACCACTTCTCCTTTCAAAACTCCTTATAGTCTTACAAAGCACACACAAACCTATTTGGCTTTCTCCTGCACTTCAGAATGTAGACAATGGTGACAGCAGTTTGCAGAATGAGAAAGAAAGCTGCTGCTATGGCTCCTATCTTCCATGCTTCCTGCCCTATGGCTTTGGACTCTGAAGCGTAAAAGAGAAAGTACTGTCAAATATAGAAAGTTAAATAAATCAAAAAAGAGAAATGTGCAGGTGTATTTCTCTACAGAGACTACCATCTGGCACCTTCCACGAATAGAGTACAAAATAGTAAAACTCTTCAAAAATATATATTTTTAAACAAATAGTCAGTGACAGGTGCTCGACCTTAAGAAAATACTGATTGGCAACAACTAAATAATATGCTGTTTTATTTTCTAGTTATTTTTATAACATTTGCGATTTTGCAACCGTGTTATCAGAATGTCTAAATACAGTTATTTTGTGTAAACCCTTAATTTAGGTGATTTTGCTGTTGTTATTGTACAATAAACAATAATAACTTCAGGTTTTAATAGACCAGATAGATAGATAGATAGATACAATACAATGTAATGTAATATAATGTAATATAATATAACATAATATTCCAACTCACTTCGATCGCGTCAAAAAGACCATGGTATGTGTTTTACCATCTACGCTATTGGATTTAATATTTGTTAAGTGTCTTGTGTAGTGTTGACTAGCCCAATCACACGTTGGTGGGCAGAGTTCGTGTAAATAGCCTCTGCCAACAAGGTGTGATTGGGCTAGTTTGGCTATTTGTAACAACACAGGCTATTTGTTCTTAGTGTAAATAGACACTCTGTAATGGGCAAATAATATAATATAATATAATATACAAATACAGCATGTTTTAGCATATATCCAGATGTTATTGAAAAATTGATGAGAGGTTGTATGTGTTTTCAAAAATAGTTTTTGCAAGTTTGTTTAATTACCATTTTACTTTGGAGTGTTTAAATTATATAAGTTGACATACGTGTAGAGTCAGCATGTTCCTCCACTGGTGCATCAGTATCTCCAAGCCTCAGTTTGAGAACTGGTGTTGGTGGGAGCTCCTCAACAGTGTTCATCAACACTGGTACACCCTGGTTGTTCTTGTTCGGGTCTCTGGAGCTGATAATCTCATTTACATCGCTGGCCTCATGTGTTTTACCTGTAAAATCTGAAGAAGTTTCCACACATTCATTGTGTTACAAATAGACAGCAGGCGACTGAAGGTTTGACAGGGAATTTGTGTCATTAAAAGCCTCACCGCCTGTTGCTTTTGACTTCGTGATAACAGGCTCCTGCAACTTAATTGGTCCCCGAGTATCCACGGTGACCTCTGTTGTGAAATAGGGGAGACATTTAACAGAGTGGTGAAAATTGCAGAATGAGAGCTGGAGGATACGTATGGAATTTAAAATGACGCTCTCACAGTATATACTTACATGTGTGAGACACAACAACTAGGTATAAAAGAGTACAATATAGGTACCAAGAAGCTTTTGCAAAGAGATATTTGTTTGTCAGTAGATAAAATTACTTTTATTCGCTATATATTGTATGTGAGGCCATTTTCTACAATGTTGGAAATGTTCCCCCAGACCTAAATGGCCAAAGATATTGGTAAGCAACTAATGACTGGTTTTAATGAAGACCTGAGTGAAATTCTTACTCTCATAAAACATCTTTAAATCGCTAAATCAATTATAACAGATTCACATTTGATACACAAATTTATCTCATGCACAGAAATGAAGAAAGTCTGCTTTATCTGATTACAACCAACTGTGACAGAGGCCATTTGACTCAGTAGAGCATGAAGTGCTTTTATGAGGATTGAAGGGTAAAGTCCATGTTGTGTGGGAATTAAGGTTTAGGGGTATCTTAGTTTCAGCAGAATGAATGTGTTTCTGTATGTAGGTCACAGGAGCAGCAGGAGCAGAAACATATAGGACAGTGGTTCATTAGAAATTAGGCTCTGGAGCTTTGGACAGACACCAAAACAGACCACACTCTCACTCGTTTAGGCAGATCTTAAAATGCAACAGGATCTCATTAGTACTCAATATAGTACTGGATATTTGTTCATTAAGTGTGCTTCTAACACACAAACAGTTCTGTATATTTGCATAGATGTTACTAACATATTGTCAGAATAATATGTACATGAGGCATACAAAAGTTTATCAATGCTTTTGGATTAATAGAATATTGAATTTACAGTATTAATTGATGTGTATTAATATCAGTCTGTTACTGTACATTTTAAATTGTCGAGGTTTGGGCAGGGGTGGAGTTATAACCAATATATTTATACGGTAATTGTGCATATGTAAATAGTCAATGCATATATGCATATTTCTGCATATATTCAAACATACAAAAAATGTATACATTATACAAATACATATGAATACTATTACATTTACAATATAAAGATTTTAAAAAGCTGATTCGTAAATACTTTTATGCTTTAAATGTTGTTAATATGGCCATATTGTATGTTCTGCACATATCCAAACATAGTCAAATGTATTTGTAAATGTTATGTGCAAATACATATGAATACTGACATCAGGCTATAAAAAGACACTGATTGAGATTTCATTTTTCATTTCTTTCAATTTGTTTTGGTTACCTTTTCCTCATGTAGAGGGAGATATTATTAGTGTTTGCAGGTGTTTGTGTGGGCTTAATTATTATCCATGCTCCCAAAAGATACACTCTAAAAAATGCTGGGTTGTTTCAACCCAATGTTGGGTCAAATATGGACTAACTCAACTGTTGGGTTACATTTTGGTTAAATTTTTTAATTAGCTTTTTAACCCAACAGTTGGGTTAGTCCATATTTGACCCAACATTGGGTTGAAACAATCATTTTTTAGAGTGTACTTATCCTTTGATTAAAGAAAACAACTGCTATTTTGCCACACTATTCTATTCTATTCTATTCTGTTTAGGAAGATTCTACAACACTATTCAATCCAGAATTTAAATAAAGCGATACCATCTAAATCCCCATCGTGCACAGCTTGATAGAGCAGTGTATTTCAGCATATTTCAGTGTGACTGTGTAATTAATGGTGGATAGATGACTCAGAGTGCACCCAGGAGCCAGACATCTCCAGAGATACATGTTATGAGTCTTTTCACTGTTATAAACTGAAGGGATGCCCTTAGGCAGCTTTGTTCCTTTGCTGTATTATTGCTAGTGCAAAGATCAGACAGTGAAAGTCTAATTGCATTAGGTTTGGAGGGAGAAACACCATCACAATTGGGAAACCATAGCTAACTAAATATTTTGCTGCTGTGGTGTATAACTGGTCTAGACAATTTTATGCCTCTAACAGAAAGCAAAAATTGTAATTTAGTATTTAGAGGTTGAAATTTCACTTTTATTGGTTTAAAGTTGTCTTGGGTGGTAAATGCACATTAATTATAAGTTCATTACCTGGTTCCTGTTGAGTTTTCTCCAGTTCTGTTTTGTCGGTTGGATGAACCTCCTCCTCTCTTGAAACCTTCTTGAGCTGTGCTTCAGATCCAGCCTCTACCTCCTCTCTCCTTGCTTCAACTTCAATCACACCTTCTTCAGTCTTCGCTACTTCCTGTTCTACTTCAACCATATCAACCACACCACCATCTGGACCCATCTGTGCTGTTACCGCCTGCCATTCCTCTTGACTATGCTCTGATTCTTTATCCCATTCTGTATCTTGCCTTTCCACAGATTCTTTTTCTTGTTGTCCTTGTAGTTTAACTTGTCCCCTACTTATCATCACCTCTACTTTCTCTATTTCCCCCTTTGCAGTTTTCTCTTCCATCTCAGACAACTGAGTCTCCTTCTCAATTAATCCCTGTTCTGGCTCTTCCACATCTTCATCTTCAACCACTTGCATTTCTGCAGCTACTCTTTCTGATTGTTTTTCTTTTTGTGTATCAGGATAAATCTGGACAGGTGATTCATCTGCATGGCTTTCCTCAGTCATTGCTTCACCCACTTCAACAATCTCAAGGTCTTGCAAAACCGATTCTACTGGTTCCTGAACTGAATTTACTGCCTCAAGGACCAACCCTCCTGGTTTTATAACTGATTTCTCATCTGGCTCTGAAATTGATGACTCGTCCTGCGGTATCAGTCCTTGAATCTCCTCTGCAGGCTCAATATCTTGAGTCAGACCTTCTTGAGCTGGTTCCTCAAATGTCTGTTCACTTGATTCTAACAAATGAGCATCTGGTTCTCCTGCAGTGAGCACCACTGCCTCCTCTTTAGCTGCTACTTCTGTTGTATAATCAACTGCGGTCTCAACCACTGGTGACTGCTCTTCTGGAGTCTTCTGTGGCGAGAGTTCACCTACGACCTGCTCCAAGGCCTCGCGTACAGTGCCGGTTGTCGAGATCTGTACTGCCTGCTCAAAGGCTGCCTTCATTGCATCAATCACATCACCCAGGCTTGGCGGGGCTGGCTCTGGGTCAGGGGAGGGGAGAGCATCATCTGTGCAAAGCAGCGAAGAGAACTTGAGACTTTAGAGCAAATTTGACCAGGTCAACATTGTCAAGCTGCTAAAGTGCAGCAGGGTCACATCACATCATTCTATCTGTGAGTTTGAATAGCACCAGGTTATGACAAATTTACATGCTCATGGATTAGCTCACTAAAAGATCTATAACATGCATTAATAAAATATATTTTTTCATAATTTTGACTTTCAGCTTGTTTTTACATGAACTCAACTCAAGCCAACATTCAAAGCGTATCTTGACAAAATGTTATATGTAAAAATAACAGTATATGTATTAATACTTTCTGATGGTCTTTGCTACCTCAGTTAATATTCAGTTTAAATTCAGGGATTTGATTATAAGCCATTCTCAGTTCTCAGTTCATTCTGAATGGTGCACAACCCTGATGAACAGTACCAGTAGGGTCATTGGAGTCCACAGTTAAAATCTGAAGCCTTTAACAAGCTTTTAAAACAAATATCATACTGTTAAGATCCTATTATATTTGTGATGACAGTCAGACTTACAGTAGCTGAACGCTTTCTCTAAGTTAACAGTTGTTTTCACTTTTAATATTGCAGTTTCTTAAAATAGTGATTGTACATCGTGACTCTACATGCATTTTGAGCTCTGTGCCTGAAAATACTCGTAAGAATCATCAGAAGCTGAGACTTATTAAACTTGTGCATTGTATGTTTGGAAACAGAAATGGTAGATTTAAAAAAAGAAGAAGAAAAAAGAATATTAGTTGAATAAATAAACAAGAAACTACTTTACCAAACTATGTATTCTGTAAAAGACATCTTCAATTTAGGTCTTTGTTTTCAAAGGAAAGTGCAATAGATTTGTGTGAATTCCCAAGAAATGTGAGATCTCACAGTTGATTTGCATGAAGGTGTTGCGGTGCTGGGAAATAGCGATTGAATCACTTTTATAGGCCTGAAATGAAGAAGCTAATGGGATCTCAGTCTGGAGTCTATAGAGATATTAGTTTGTTTGTACTACAGCCAAACTCAAGCTGAAGCTGCCAGTGCTGTGGTTACCATTCTGCCTTGACAAACTGATTTGAAGTTTTAATTGGTTTCAGATCTGGTTGACATGTTGAAAAATGGGTTTTAAGCCAATCATCAGCATACTGCCTTTGGAATGACCAGGAAAATTGATTATGCAGATAGCACTTTAGAAATTGATTTCAACCTTAGATGCAGTACATGAATCAGTGAAACTTACTGAAATCTAAGGCTGAGTCAACATAGATTGTTTTGCCCTGAGGGTAATTCCTTAAGAATATAGTATCCTTTTCCTAGTCTTTATATAGACTTTGTAATATGATTCCTTAACATCTGGTTTCAAGCACAATTTTACAGTGTCGTTGAAGAAAATGTTACTATACCTTGTGCCTGGCAAAGATGAAACAGCAACATCACTAACAATCCATTATGAGAACACAGTCCCATGGTGGAAAACCACAGATGTCCAAAACTGCCTTCTTTTTGTAGAGTCTATTTGTTGGTGTTTTTTAGAGCGTTTGAGACGGATGAGGGAATTAGCTGGCTCCAGGTGTGTTGAACTTAAAAGCGACAGTCTCTGGACTGGGATTCTCGATCTCTCTTTGAGTTGGCGTCGGGAACAACAAGGATTTGCCCTCAGCTGGAAAAGTCGCAAGGCTTTGCAGAATGCAGTGTGGAATCGCACCAAGCCACGATGACATATCTCACTCATGTAGTAATTAAGGCCTACCTGTGAGTTCATCGGGGCAGAACATTAGGGCAATTCAAGAATGAGAGAACATCATCATGGAGATCTCGTCAATGAGGTTACCAGTGTGAGCAAATATGATGGCAAATATTTACATGAATTCATTTTCTAAACACTTTTATTCCAAGCAAACAGCAGTGAATTCAACACTTCATATGTTTTATTAGTATACATACTCCCTAGGAATCAAACCCATATACTTTGTGTTACGCTACAGGGAAGTTATTCCTACTATCAGATGTTGACATTTATATTGACAGACATGTCTTGACTTAGACTACTGACTGTGTCTTATGCTACAGTTTTGTTTTGGAAGCAAAAGTTGATTTGCATGAAGGTGTTGCGGTGCTGGGAAATAGCGATTTAATCACTTTTATAGGCCTTCAACATTTTTACTTTGATTGAGGTAAACATTGTGTTGAGTGACCAATAACTTAATAAAATAACTTAAAAACTCAAAACTGCCTATTGAAGTGCGAAAGTACTCAGTTTATTGTTCTTTGGTAAACCTATATAAATTACATTGTATGCTAATGTGCTATTCATTATTTTTAACCCTACCATGCATAAAGGTAGTCCAATTCCACAAATTGTGGTTTTGGAATATTCCTGTATCCATGTAAGATCGTAAGTTCAAGAAAATAACATTTGTGTCCATAAGTGTGGTCAAAATCTATTTATTTTCTACCTTTATTTTGTCTTTCCAATATATTTTTGGTACCATACTTACAACATAAAAATGAAATAAAATAATAAAATAAAATAAAAACGTACAAAATTTAATTCTTTGACTTTTTCATTTATTACTCAAGGGCTGTGACTATGTTAGTTTTATATTTTGTGTTAAATAAGACAGATCTATATTATGATACATTTGTGTCGTTTATCAGAAAAGTGATTTCCAGTGAAAACAGTTTGCATTAGATGCACTGACCCTAGCTATGAATCATAGCTAAAAAATCAAATGTATCAGTTTAGATATGTTGAAAATTAAATGTATTTGTTTGTTTGTTTATTCATTCATTCATTCTGAAACAATTTAATTATGCTGAAAATCAAGATAAAAAAAATTTATTTTCTTTAAAGAAAATGTAATGCACTACAGGCCTTTTTTCACAGCTGATTACAGGCACTTTTACAATAAATAAAGTTTCTAATTTTGGCTCTGTTATGTTATTAAAATGACAGATATTTAATTAAAATAGTTTTGTTGATTCGGTCCAGCCAGCAGCACCTAAAACTTCTGTTCACTAATGAACAGCAGCTTGAACGCCTCATGCGTTTGGTCTGCTGGGCTTTACTCCTTCAATTCAAAGAATTTCTGGAATGCTCTTGCCTGAAGTTCACTGTTCTGAATGAGACAAAAGCAGGCATGATTTCAGTCATTAGTTTGTAATTCACATCATAACTAGTTCACATGACCATCATAGTTTCTGGCACATTGCCCCAGCCCTGAGAACCTTAACTTTTTTGTAAGAAGTTTTGCTCCTGCACTTTTTACACACAGTGTTTCGGATAAAAGTCGCTTTGTGTTTGATAACATTCGCTCAGTCGCTCATATGACAAAACTGCTCTTATAAAAGAGTTTAATGAAGGCTTAATGTATTCATAAAGTGAAATAGAATAAGGTGAGAGAGGACAGACCCCAATCAATGGGTCTTGGTGAGATCGATGATGTTATCAAGTGCACAAGGGAATTTTTAATGGGCAGTAAAATAGTGTTTTGTTGCTTCCAAAATAACAAAAACTATTTGTAACCCACCGCTGTAGACAGATACTTCTTTTTCAAGAGTTTCCTCCTGCTTTATTATTCTCTTAGGCTTTGTTGGTGCTGTGGTTCGTGACTGTACAGAGATTAGACCAGTGTAGTCTGACAGTGAGCTATGCTAATGCAGTCACATGCCGCTCACATTGTGTGCGCTAAGTCCCGGCAAGAGAGAGGCACTGTTAGCTTGTGACTGCACTGGGATTACTGAGCCATGCAACGCAAGACCCAAACACACTCATACAACAGGAGGGAGCTGAACGTACACACACGCATACACACTCTTGCTTGAGGCCCAGAAATTCACAAGGATAAACAATTCTTTTATTTCCGTTTCAAAGAGAACATTATTGTGATGCTCACTTTTTGAAGATGTTGTCATGCGCGATGTTGTGTGATTTGAGATCACCATTAAAAAACACCATATGGGGAATGCTTTTGGGACAGTGCATTACACAAATTTTTTCATTACACAAAGTCTTATCTATTGATTTATTGAAACGTTTTGTAAAAAAAAAATGCAATTCATACAGTCAGTGACTTATACAGTTTCTATGATTATTTATTTATTTATTTATTTTAGGTAGAGCATTAAGAAATAATGAAGAAAAGCCTCATTAAAGGAATTAAATTATTGAAAAGCAAACTTTATTAATCTAACCTAATCTAATCTAGTTGTGTAATAAACCTGGCATTGTGTATTACAAATATGGTTGGTTCTTCGATAAATTGCTTTTGTTCCTCTTAAGTAAATTGATTTGTATAAAAAGTGTCTGCTAAAAGCTAATGTAAATGCATAATCCTTTATTTGTATTTTTTAGAAAAAATACACAGTTTAACTGCTTCACAGCTTATTAATATTGCACTAAAACTTTTAGTGCAACCAACATGAAGAAACATGGAGAAAAAAACATTTTAAAATTTTGTAAATATTTATAAATTAATAATTAATAAAAAATTAATTTTAGGTTTTTATCTTACACAGTATGTAACTGAATCATTTATTTCCACAACATTACTCTTAATGATGACAACATAAGGGATCAAAGTACAGGCTCTCCTTTAGCCTTCACAGCTTAAAGTCAGTATGCAAGACACTCTATATGCGCAAAAGTGAGAGTTATTCAGAGAGAGTAGGCTTGCACACATTTCTAATACCGTAATTGCAGACAGGGATCAAAATAGTTTATTCATCACATTCATCTTCTTACAGTAGAATCCCTGTGAAAGTCGCAAACAATAATGTTTGCGTATGTTCTACGATTATGTAGTTGCAGGAATTTTCAAAGAGACCAGCAAAAATGGTATCAAAAACACATCATTAAAGACATCATGACTGGTTTAAGCACCCAAGTCGTTAGTGAATACAGGGTGTGATCAAAGTCTCTCATTTGAATCATTATGACAGCTTCAGCTAAAAAATGATTCACTATAGCCTATGCCAGCCATGAAGAAAGCAACTAATTATTTTGAAAATCTGACAGAGATGATGTCATGGTACCTAAAAATGGTGGCTGTGCTTGTGTCCCTGCGTGTGAGCGTGTACGTGTGGAACAGAGAGAGAGGAAGAGAGGGAGAGGAGCATGTTTGATGTGGATTTCGAGGTATCTAGGACATCTTTTTAGGTCAAAAACTTCAGAAATTCTGTTTTCAGAAAGCTTCCATTTTTCATATGTAAATGAGCTCCATGGAAGCAACAGAAACAACAGCACCAATGATATGTGCGTTATTAATATTCAGAGAGAAACTTCTAATTTATGCCGCCTTCATTAGGAAACTTATCAAAGGAGCGAGCCAGTAACCGTAGCATTACCAGTCGACAGACACGTTTGTTAGCATGTTTGCACAAGTCTAAGAGAGAGATTGTTCCCAACAACAGGGATATTTTGTTGAAAGCTTTCTCTCATTTCCAACAATTAGGAGAATAGAGGCCTACTATTGAAACAGTAGGCCTACCAATTTAAGGGTTTGTTTGATGTTACTTTCTCAATATCTTAGCTCAGGTTTTTGGTAGTCTCGCGTAGCCAGACCTTCAGACTGATGGCTGAAGGTCTGGAATCCATGGCAGCTTTCATTGGCCAAAGCCCGCCCATGAGGCCGTTTGATTGACATGTCAAACAACCAATCACAGTTCATTTCATTTCAGCGTCACGTTTCGGGGCGTGGAAAAGTCACTACAATAAGAGTGTGTAAAACTTTCTGACGTATTTTAAAGATTCTGTGCCGCGAACTTTAAATATTTCACATACTTTTGAAAATCCAGCGTTTAGTTGATCCTGATAGGCGCTCATCGTCACAGTTGTAAACACGACGGCTTTCTTCTTTCGTGAGGGGGTTTGGCGTCATGGCATCTTTGTTTCCAGGCGGAACGTTACAGAACGCGACACACACGTCTCCCGGAAATCCTGTATAATTCAACCAATCTCAACCACTGAAGTGTTTCCACTTTTGTGTGCCATATGCATCAGATGTTTAGCCAAATTTCCGTGGGCGTGACGTTTGAAGCTGAGACTAGGTTTTTGGTGGTTAGCATGGCCCTGTGAGCCCCTGCTGGTAGATGCTGTAACTACACACTCAAAAAACATCTTTTCCTTCTGACCAAAGAAAGATGAATCTTCAGCACAGAAGATGGGGAGACCTGTTTGAAAACAGTCATTTTTGTGCACTTTAGTAGCACATAAATTAGACTGTTCAACTGATGTGGCTATTCAAAAATCAAAATGTCCTAGCTACTGTAACTATTATACTAATGCTAAATGTATAGTTAATGCATGAGGGCACTTGTCCAAAGTGTGACTCTTAAAATAGAATCTCTATAGTTTAAGTATGATGTTCTGCCATGGTGATTTATGGACGTAAATATGGATTGTAAGGTCTTAAATGTATTGATTATTATGTCATCCAAATGGAATCTCATTAACTTAATACAATGTA